AAGGTAAAAACCCAGCGCATACAGTGTTCATGTTTTGTTTTTTGTTTTTTTTCATCAAGACGGCTTCCCGCGCCCCCCCTGCAATGCCCCACAGTTTGGGAACCTCTGACTTACACAAATATGCTGCTCTTCTGTTATATTGTAAAAGACTGCGTGCCTGAAAACAATTTTTTTTCCAACTTTTGGTCATTACGTTAAATCATGACATCTGTCTGTGGTGACAGTCTGAGCTCATTTGGTTTGGTTCTGACTCCCCCTGGTGGTCTGGAGTAAGACTGCAGTGTTTATTCTTGCTGCTCTTGTTCTGTTGCCTTTGTTTCTCCTCTGTTCTGACTCACCCTGAGGCTATAAGCGCTCTGGACTGCGCCATGGCGATCCTCTGCAGCGCCGGCCTGCTCAGCCCGGCCAAGCTGGACCGCTGCGGTAAGGGGGCGTGGCACGCCGACGTCGACGATGGCGTGCGTTGCGGCTTCATCACCACGGGCGACGGAGACGGCACCGGGGAGGGGGGTGTGGTGACGGCGCTGGCGGGGGTTATCAGCGTGGCAGTCGGTACCGGTTCTGTGGCTGAGGAAGAGGAGGAGGAGAGCTTGGGCGGAATGGAGGGCGGGTTCTGGTTGGAGGTGGGTGGCTGCGGCGGCGGCAGTGCCGGTGGCGGCGGCCTGCTGGAAGATGCTGAGAGACCCATGGAGGAGGCGCCGGCGGTGAGGGCGGCCAGCGACTGGGCGAACAGCTGGGCGTTCCTCCGTGGCGACGCCGTGTTCTTGGTGATGGCCAGGCCGTGCGGCAGCGTCTGGTAGTAGGCGGGGCTCTGCTGCAGGCCCCGCCCCAGGGTGGCCGACTTAGACGGGCTGAGGGGGCGCGCAGTGGGGGGGGCGGAGATCTTGGGGCGCTGCATGGTTAGAGCGCGCCTGTTCAGAGTCTGGATGGCCGCTGCGCCGCCTCCTGGTCCTCCAGGGCCTCCTGCACCGGTCTTCACGCTCAGGACCAGCATGCACTGCTGGCAGGAACACGGCTGGCCCAGACCCAGAACCGGCAGGCCGCCATTAGAGGTGACGGGGCCTCCCACCCCCATGCTGGCCCCTGACACCCCGACGCCCAGCAGGGCCCCCGTCAGGCCCCCCCCTCCTCCCACCGCGCCTCCTTTGGGGACGGGCAGCGGGCCGGACACCAGCGGGTAGGCCAGGTCGGCGCGCCTCTGGATCCGCCGGCACCGCTGGCTCTGCCGGTTCACCTGTGGGTCAGAACAAAACAAAATTTAATTTCAATAATTTAATTCAGATTCTTAAATAACTGCCTTTGTTGGATCCTAGAATATCACTGGAAAGTTGAGTGGAAGGAAAAACTTTAGTTAATGCAGCCTTGTGAGGATTGTTAAGGAAAGTCCATCAAAGAGTTTGGATGTGTGAAACACAGAGATATTCAGAACATCAGAGATCCACCAGAACCAGATTTCTGTATTAAAAAAAAAAATCATTTCCTGTAATCTGAGCTTTTATCCAACCTGCTGCGCAAGATATTTATTAGAATCTGAGTCCAAATCACTGCTCTGTTCAATGAACAGGACACTTCCAACACTTTCTGTCAGCTGATCCAACCTGCGTTCTGTAGCCTAGCAACACTTCCTGTCAGCTGATCCAACCTGCGTTCTGTAGCCTAGCAACACTTCCTGTATGCTGACCTGTGTCATGTTCTTAAAGTCGATGAGGTAGCAGAAGCCGAGCGGCGTCAGGTCCAGGCAGGTCTGCTGGCGGCTGTGGGCGCTTTCGATGGCGATGGCCACCTCCATGTCGTACGGCGTCCATGTTCCCGCGTCGTTCTCCCACTCCCACTGCCAGCCCTGACCCGGGGCGGAGACCGGGTCGTAGAAGGTCCTCCGGACCGGACGGATGGTTCCTGGAACAGAAAAAAGGAAATAACGTTCCTGATGTTGCTTCATCCAGTGATGGCGTCAGGACTTCAGAGAAACCTTTCTTTGGGTTTTCCTCTGAGTTCTGCTGGGACTGTTCAGACCCACAGATCAGATTTCTGCTACAAATGAATATTTTTTAGGTTTTGTGTCTCAGAAATGCAGAAGGATTTCTGAGACACGAAATCCTGACTTCTCTGTCAGAGATGTCAGTATTTGTCCCAAGTCGTGTCCTCTGAGGCTGCATGCATGACTTTCATTAACATACTTGGACTGAAGGGAAAACGCCCTCCCAGCGCCATGCAGTCATTCTGAGATCACATTTTAAAGCAGGACTTTCATCTGTTCAGCTTTATTCTGGTGTTTCACATTCAGGCCCAAATAAATAATCCAAAAACAAGCCAATAAATATCCCTAAACCCCAATAAACCAACGGAACAATGGCTCTCTGTGCCGCGCCGGCGGCAGGACGGCGGTTCAACCAGCCAGAAACTAAACCCGTCTCCAAGGCAACGGGCTGATCAGCCGGCAGCAGAAAGACGTGATCATGAGGACATGAAGAGAACGACGGAGTGCAGAACCGAACGCTGCGACTCGGTTTGACCCGCAAGAACAGAAGATAAAGATCCAAAGAACCCAGCAGAACATCAAATGTTCATCAGCAGCTGACGACTCTGAATGATCGACTTCATCGTCCGTATCGTTTGATACGTGGGCTGAAACTAAGAACCGGTTATAACCACCCTGCTGCCCTGTGTGTGTTTCTGCTGGGGGAGGAGCTTGGTGATGTGGGGTTTGTTGGTCATGTGGCGTTTGTTGGTGATGTGGGGTTTGTTGGTGATGTGGGGTTTGTTGGTCATGTGGCGTTTGTTGGTGATGTGGGGTTTGTTGGTGATGTGGGGTTTGTTGGTGATGTGGGGTTTGTTGGTGATGTGGGGTTTGTTGGT